CGAAAACAACAGACATTAAATTTCTCATATCACGAAAGTTCGAGGTCACAATTGTGCCCCTGAACCGTTGAGAATGAACGAAATATCATCGATTTAGAGGGTTAAATATAGCAGCCTTGTGAGTGCCCGATCTCCAACAAGCAGGAATCAGCGGTCTTCACGTTAGGTACCAGGTTCTCTCGGTTCTCCCGCCAAGTTTGGCAGTTCGTTGGAACTTGCATCGAACTCGAGCTCTGTTTTAGCGGGCCAAAATCCACTCTACCTTCGCTTCGCCACCGTGCACGGTTTCAAGGCAAAGGTTTCCGTTACCCAGAAGCTGAAGATAGCAATTACAGGCAACAACAACAACAGGTAAGCAGGTTTTGCATAAATTGAACGAGTAAAGTAACGTCAAGATACATTTCGTTTTGCCTTTGGTTGTGAATGTGTCATTATCAAGGAGAAGTTGCTTTGCTTGTGTAATCACTTTGGTGATGTTTACCTGCCGTGTATAAAGAGCTTTATTATCTGTTATTATCTGTTCTCAATAACTGAGGAAGAGCATGCGACATTTGTTATTGGCTTACATGTATATGCACCTTAAGTATGATTCCTTCTGATGCATGCTCTTGTAAGGTTAAGTTGCCCTCTGATGTGAATGCTAGTAAGCTAAAATGTAATGTGCCATCTTCAGCAGAGAAATTTCTCTTATGCTAATGTAAGTATTCTGAAGTTACTCAAGTATCTACAGTTGTACCTACATGCAAGTTACAATATGCTGTTATACACAACTGTACCTGGACACTGCACCCACTGGTACTGATAGTAAGTTAAATGTTGTGGAATTTCCTTTCACACACACACGCACGCACGCACCCACGCACCCACACCCACCCACACACACGCACGCACACACACACACACACACACACACACACACACACACACATACATACACATATATACATATATGGAGGTTTCGACCTATAAGGTTTTTAAAGAAAACGAAATACATGATAAGGTCAGATGCCAGCCTAAAAAAATTAGATCTACGAGATTGGCAATTTTACCTTCCCAAAAATTGGGAAAATGCCTTATGAAGTGTGCCCAAATGAACAAGGTAGATAGAATTGGGTTGGGCATAGATGTATATTTTAACTATTAATTTCAACTTTCTCCTCTTAAAAACCAACCCTCCAGAGACAAAAAATGTACATGATTATGTACTTCAGTTATCAATGATATCCTTTCTTGACATTTTGGTGGAAACCTTTCCAACAAAAACAAAGGTTACTAAATGGTGAACAACATATTAAAATAAAAGAAACGGAAATTAAGCAACAAAAGGTAAGGAAAAAAAACAGAAGGCCTAAAGTTTGCCTGCATGCTCCATTTTAGATTTTGGTGCATGCCCCATAGCAAAGTTTGTCACCTCAAGGTGAAAGAGAAACTGAGATACCTAAGTTTCATCTTCAAATGATGGACGTTGACATTTGGCCGCAATCTGTTGCAAAAAGAGCCAGAATCTATGGGCACATAGATCATTGAATGTCCCCTTTTGCAAAAATTCAAAAGGAAGATGTGTTGAGCTCTTTTCTACTTCCAAAACCATAGAAGAAAAACAATGAAACATACCACCAGGTTTCTCACAGATGAAATACTTTTCCAAGTCACAAAAATAGTCATTCCAATAGCCAGCACCTCCCAACACTGTTACACAGTCTTCCGCCCCAGCAGCATCATTGGGTTCGTCTGTTTTCCAGTGAGTGTAATTAACTAGTGAATTGTCACTCTCCCATCTGTAGCTCCCCTCTGCTGCAGAATCACTTAATCCAATCCAATATGTCTGGTACATGCAATGCAAATTAATACAAGTAAGTTACTTGAGTCATAGAGCGGTTTTCAATTGTGTGTCGAAAGTAATTAGACAATTACTTTGGTTTTGGTTTTGGTTTTATTTCGGTTTGAGATTGGCTGAGTAGTCTAATTGACAAGTAAGTAATTGGGTTGGTTTTGGTTTTGCGACACTCAATTAAAAACCACTCTAAATTTTCTAAGTCATGTCAATAATAAATTGAGTAATCGTACGATTGAATGATTTACACTTCAGTAATACCTTGCAATTTGTTCACATTAGATGTACACCTAACATGCAATTTTGAGGGAATTTTCAAAGATCACTTGTAGTGAAAATCGTTAGATAATCACATTTAATTCAAGGCAATCACATGATTACCGTAAAGATACAAATCTAGAGAAAAAAAAAACAACAAAAATGACTCACCCTAAGACCATTGCTCGGTCTATAAGTTATAAACTGTTGCTCATCAGCATCATCAATTTTCAACAAATACCCTCCAGAAGCTCGGCAATCCTTCTTAGCATCAATCCATTTCTTTCTAAGAGAACTAAACTTGTAACAGGATGAGCCATAGAAAACCCAACCCGCAGGGCAGGCAATTGGAACTACAGAAAAAAAAAAAAGACCGAAAAATTAACATCTAAAATTCAATATCTTTCTGACAAGTACAGCGAACCAGAAACGTTCGGATAACTAATAATGAGTTTTCTTGGATTCAATTATTAGTGTAAAACGTTTTCAAAAAGTACACATGGAATGACATCATGACATCACAACATCACTCTGACTTATAACTAAGGTAATATATGATCTCTGCATGCTGGATACAAAAAAAAAAAAAAAAAAAAA